CATCCAACTTTTTTGCCCAATCTTTTCTTGGTGCATTAACTGTAGTTTCTAAGATCCGTTTAATCTGCCGATTGGAGATTTCCACTTGACCACTTGTTTGTGGGTGATAAGTTGTAGCAATGCGATGCTTCACTCCATATTCCAATGAAACAGAGTCCAACATCCTATTGTAAAAGTGTTTGCCACCGTCACTAATGAGTGCAATTGGTTTTCTAAATCGACTAAAAATATTTTTCTTCAAAAAATTTATAATTACCTAAGAATCATTGGTTGGTGTAGCAATTGCTTCAACCCACTTAGAGACACAATCTACAGCCACCAAGATGTACTGACATGAATAAGAGGATGTAAATGGACCCATGAAATCTATACCCTAAATATCAAATAGCTCCACTTGAAGTAGGCGTTCAGAGGTATCTCATTTCTCCATAGATGTTTCCAGTTTTTTGACACTGATCACATGTATTAACTATGCTATGAACATCTTAAAAAAAAAATTGGCCAATAGAATCCAGACTAGAGTACCTTAGCAGCTATTTTCGTTCCTCCAAAATGCCCTCCATATGGTGACGAGTGACATTGCCGTAAGATTTCAACTCTGTTTTAGGTACACACCATCTAATGATTTGATTTAGACGATGCCTATCTAGATATGTATCTTCCCAAAAGTAATATTTCAAATCTGAAAATAACTTCTTTCTCTATTGGTAGGTGGTGTCAGGAGGTCAAATGTTGCTTGTAAGATAGTTAACTATATTTGCATACCATGAGACCTCAAGTAAGTATGCACCTCAAGTAGAGCGAGCAATTGTTTATTTGGAAAGAATTCATTGATTTGATCATCTTTTGTTAGTGTGATCTTTTCCAATTTGGATAGATGATCTGACACAACATTTTGTGTTCCCTTCTTGTCCCTACCCATCGGATAAGTCTAGGCTTAGCTTCTTTCTTGGCTAGTAGATGTCTATGGGCTACATGATTAGTGTAAACTATTACTTTCGAACTAATAAGTTATGATCGAAATTTGTTAAATGTAAACACCACTCCCAGCAGTTTTTTTCAGTAGTGGCATAGTTGATTTGAGCATCGTTGAGGGTTCGACTAGCATAGTAGATCATGTGAAGTATCTTATTTATTCTCTGATCCAGTACTACTTCAATTGCAAAATCACTCGCATCACACATGAGTTCGAAAGGTATATCCTAATCTGGTGCTACAATGATACGTATAGTTACCAACTTTTCCTTAAGTGTTGAATACTATCAAAGACTCTTTAGTAAATTGAAATGGGACGTCTTTCTCAAGCAAATTACATAATGGTTTAGTAATCTTTGAGAAATCCTTGATAAATCTTCCATAGAA